ATTTGAGACAGGGTCTTACTCTGTTGCCCAGGCTAGAGAGCAGTGGTGCGATCTCAGCTCACTGCAACCTCTGCCTCCCAGGTTCAAGTGATTCTCCTGCCTTAGCCTCCTGAGTAGCTGGGATTACAGATGCGCACCATCAAGCCTGGCTAATTATTGTATGTTTAATAGAGACGGGATGTCACCATGTTGCTCAGGCTGATCTCAAACTCCTCACCTCAAGTAATCTGCCCGCCTTGGCCTCCCAAACTGCTGGGATTACAGGTGTGGGCCACCGCACCTGGCCCAACTTTCTTCAGTTGTTTTTTTTTTCCTGATTATAAAAGAACACATGTTAATGACAGAAAATTTGGAAAAAGCAGAGAAATATAAAAAATATAAAATCACCAGTGTCTGTCTATCCAGTGTTTGGAGCTTTTAAAGATATTGAGCTATTCATTACAGACTCCTTTATATCTTTGATGTTTGTCTTTATTAGGGACTGGAGTTTGAAGCATTTCTTTTAGTGAGCAGTGTCTAGTAGGTAACAGGATAAAAGAAAAGTCACAGAAATTTAGGGACTTCTTTATTTTCCTTTCTCTCCATATGTCACTCTTTGCTCCAGTGTCTGATTTTAGAATTTAGGCACTATTCAATCTGCATGACAGATTACTTTTGTACTTACATGTCTATTTAAGATACATTATATCTGGAGAAAAATATTTAAAGGTAGAATAACATAAGCTCTGTTCTTAAGAACTCTTGAAAATAAAGGATTAAAAACTGGTAGGGAGGGGATTGTAATTTCATTAACTTGGTGTGACATTTACCTTCATTTATTTTTTGGTAATTTTTTTAGAGCTAGGGTCTCCCTTTGTCACCCCAGCTGGAGTATAGTGGCGTGATCTTAACTGACTGCAGCCTCGACCTCCTGGGCACAAGTGATCCTCCCACCTTAGTGGATATTATACATTCTAATAATAACCTCTGGTGGCACATACCTATAATCCGAGTGCTTTGGGGGCTGAAGTGGGAGGATCTTTTCAGCCTAGGAGTTTGAGGCTGTAGTGAGCTATGATCACACCACTGCACTCTAGCCTGGGTGACAGATTGAGACAAAAACAATAATAATAAATAATAATAGCTTCTGTTCCTATCTTTGTAAGACTACCATGTAATATACTTTTTTTTTTTTTAAAGAGATAGAGTCTTGCTCTGTTGTCCAGGCTGGAGTGCAGTGGCATAGTCATGGCTCACTACAGCCTTGACCTCCTGAGCTCAAGCAGTCCTCCCACCTCAGCCTCCTGAGTAGCTGGGACTACGAGTGTGTGTAGCCATACCTGGTTAATGTTTTATTTTTAATATTTTTTGTAGAGATGGGATCTCACTATGTTGCTCAGGGTGGTCTCAGACTCGAGGACTTAAGTGATCCTCCTGCCTCCCCCTGTTGAAATGCTGGATCTACAAATGTGCACCACCATGCCCTGCTAATTTTTGTTTGATTTTGAGATGGGAGTTTCGCTCTTGTTGCCCAGGCTGGAGTGCAATGGATGATCGTGGCTCGCTGCAACCTTCGCCTCCTAAGTTCAAGTGATTCTCCTGCCTAAGTCTCCCGAGTAGTTGGGATTACAGGCACACACCACCATGCCTGGCTAATTGTTATATTTTTAGTAGAGACAGAGTTTCTCCATGTTCAGGCCAGGCTGGTCTTGAACTCTTGACCTCAGGTGGTCTGCTCTCCTTGGCCTCCCAGAGTGCTGGGATTACAAGTGTGAGCCACCACTCCTGGCCTGCGCACTAGTTTAAATAATTTTTTTTTTTGTAGCGATAGAGTTTCACTATGTTGCCCAGGCTAGTCAAGCTGTTAGCCTCAAGCGATTGTCCTCCCTTGGCCTCCCAAAGTGTTGGAATTACGGGTGTGAGCCACTGTGCCCACCCTGTGCCAGGTTTTAATCTGCTTTATCTTGGGCTCCAAGTGAAAGTACATGGTTCAAATTGCTGGTAAAAATATTTACTCTGATTTTCTTTTGTTCTTGATTTTCTTGTAGTTCAAACAAGCTGTATATAAACAGACAATGAAACTCTTTGCTGAGCTGGAAATTAAAAGGAAAGAGAGAGAAGCCAAAGAGATGCATGAAAGGTACATATCAGTATATTCATTTTAAACCATATTTAAATCCCTAGATTAACTAACATTGGTCTTTGGTGATTTTCCTAATGAAGGAATTATGTGGCATATCATTTAAGAGACTATAAAAATAGTTACCAAAAAACAATCAAGCTTTTGTT